CAAAGATGGGAAACCACTTAAAGATGGTGTTTCTAACCTGGTAGACTACAAAGCAGTAGAGAAACCCAAGTATTTCCAATACAGTAGAATCCAAGCTGCTGCTGTTATTCTGATCTGCAGGTTGAAGCAATGACTACGGCCTGCTTATGTCAAGGTGTGTGTTACAACCTTGGATCTCAGTCTCAAGGGCTTGGAAAATCAATAAGAGCAGCAGAACCCAGGAAGTCTGCCTATAAACGTCCAGTCCTGCCCAGAGCCAGAACTCTTTTGGGCACATTTTCACTTTCATCTCCAACAGCCAAAGAAATTTCTTCAAGCATCTGGAAAAAATAAATTCCTGACAAACAGAAAACAGCTTCTAGAGAGCACCATTTCTAGGTCAGACCAAACACACAGAGTAATATTTCTGGTTTCAAGAGAGATGAATTCTGGAGGTGAAGGAGCAATTAACTTAATCTCAGTATAAGGCAAGTTGTTAAAAGAAGCATTTTCATTATCTTGGGATAAACAAATAATAAAAAATAACTTTTATAGTTCATCCTTATTTATTTCTTCAGGTTAATTGAATTTCAAATTTGATGATCTAGTAAATCTAGAACCCTAATCTGCAAGGGGTAATTGAAACTCCTAAAAAATATGCTTGCTCACATCTCCTGCTGTCCAAGCTTATTATGCACTGTGTCATGGGCAACTCTCCAGGCTGCATTTCAGTATGCAAGGCCTGATTAAAGCAAGTGAGGTGACCATTCCACTTTGCTTATTGCAGCCTATGGTTTACAACCTATGGGACATCACGTCTGGAAAAGAAACCACACTGAGATTAAAGGACATTCCATATTTAGAAAAGGGATGGCTATATAAGATGCTGACCACCATCCAAATGAAGTGAACAAAGAAAAGTAGTCTGGCTTCAGTGAGAGCTGGACCGGATCCCATGACTTATGGGAAGAGTTTAAAGATGAAGTTTGTTCAGTGAGAGTTAGAGATATGAAAGCAGATAATTAATGTGGTGTGGAAGAAGAGAATACAGGATCATTTTACTTGCATAGGTGCAAAGGAAGGAAGAAAGCACATCTGAGTCAAAGCAGAGGATGCATGATGCATGCAACTGTTGCAGTCATCTGTACTTTTTAAAACAAACAACAAGAAGCAGAAAAATTCCTGGAAGGCAGACTGGAAATTACAAAAAATAATTAGATTAACAAACCAAAATGTATAAAACAAAGATATGTACATCAGGAATGTTAGCTAATAAAGGCTGTGCTCAAGGCAGAGCTTGTTACAGTACATTGCTGCCCAGAATCACAGACATAACTTCAAGCTTCACACAAACCAGTTATTTCCATCAGTGTAGAAAGGCAGCCTACCTTCTTATCTGGGAAGTCAAATGAGCCTGGATGATACAAACTACAACTTTCTTTTGTCCCATAAGCTAAAGGAATAGAAATGATTGAGCAAAACCTTATCCAAGGAAAGCACACCCCAACTCTACTAGCCTTGTGTGGCTATGGGGAAGGACAAAGTCCTCCTTTTTTGCCCAAATAATATGCAAAAATAAAGAAAGTATGTCTTAACCACACCAGCCTTGTGTACCACCAGAGAAGGAGACTTATTCCTTTTTCCTAGCTCACCCCTTCTTTTCTCAGCTTTTGATTCCTTCCATTGTTGTAGGATGGCTGGCTGGACTTCTTGTTTAACTGAAAAATCCCAGAATAACTACTCACAATAACTGTTAGATGGGAATTTTTCCTTTACTATGCATTCTGTTTTCACCCATTGGAAACTATCAATTAATCACAAATGTAATCAGAAAGGTCTTTAGGTCTGGGATGAGAGGGAACTGAGAGAAACTGAGTCCAGGGATTAGGACTCTGAATAAGAGAAGGGAAGGACTTGACCTCCGGTGTCCCACATCCCGGATGAGTACATTAACGACTAAGCTATCCCAAAACAGAAATTGAGTCTGTCTCATCTCAGAAAAGTGGCTAAAGGGATGTATTTTGTTCTAACATAGCACAAAACCAAATTGCAAATCATCCCTCCCCCCCACTCACTTCTTTAAATTGGATTCTTGTTCTCCAGCCAGCCCAGCTTGGTATTAGTTTTGTGTGAGTTAAACAGACCAGACACATTTTTTCCTGTTTGCATTTGATAGATATTCAGTAAAAGGGGAAAAAGAAAAAAAAAAAAAAATAGTTCAATCTATGTTAAATATATTTCAAACTGAAGTAAAGACCAGACCTAGCCGAAGAGTCAACGCAGGAGCTTAAGGCCACGGCCGCACCACCATGGACAGCGCCCTGCGGATGGAGCCCGGCCATGCTCCGCCGGCCGCGGCACCGGCGCCGCCGGGCGCTGCGGGGCAGCGGCAGTCCCGGGGATTCATCACTGCCTCCTCGCCCTCAAATCTGAAAATTACTCCTTTCGCTGTCTTCTGGATTCTAGGAACCAGACAGATGATTTGGCAAAGCTCTTCTCAGTTCTACGCAGCTTTTTGTATTTTTGCTTCACACCCTCCCCGCCCCGCCCGCCCTTTCTCAAGTGCATTAAATTAAATGCATATTGTCTAAATAAGTGGCGCGTTGTTTCAATGGCTGAGCTGGAGGAACTCCGGCCGCCCCTCGAGTGCGAGAGGTGGCTCTGATCTGCTACTCTATCACTGTTTAATAAAGGAGATTACTGTGCTCTCATGGAGCGCCACGGAACGTCTGGGGCTTGCTGAAGGGGAGGGGAAAAGCGGGTATCTTTTTCTCCCTGAGCAATCCTTTCGCTCAATCCGAAGATGACACCATGTCAGACGTGGAAGAAGGAGTTTCTCATCCCCGACGGCCACCGGGGAGTCAGAGGAGAGGAAAGCACCCTTCATGAGAAATGGGCACTGCAGAGCACAGCTGGTCTAGGTCGTGGGCAAGAATGAGTGTGTGTGCTAGAAAGTCTGCCTCAATCTGCGAGCGGTCGTGTCTGCTACCAATTGCACCACAGCCTTGTCCTCAAGCCCACCCTGGGAGCCTTGGAAAAATATTCTGGGGCTTCTCACCTCACCTGCAGAGAGCTGCGCTCGCCGGCTTTTAACCTCGCTGGATCAGAGAGGTTGAGCAAGTCAGGGGATTTCTGGTTCTCGCAGGACGAGTCCAGCAATCACTGTGGTGCCGCTCCCTTCCCTTCCCCGCCAGGCTCTCCAGCAGTCAGCACGCCTGTGGTTTGTTGTTTTTTGTTTTTTTTGGTTTTTTTTTTTTTTTTTTTTTTTGTTGAACTATTTTGTTGAACTATTTTTTCCACCCTGGGAAGACTGGGGAGGTTAAGCTCCCCGTCTGAACCGAAGCCCTGGACGAGTGCAACTGAGGTTATAGAAATCCGGGAGAGGAAATGACGAAAATGCTTTATTGTGAATAAAACAAGAGGGAGGAGGGAGAGGCGGAACTTTACAGAGGTGAAGGATGGGAAGTTTGCGGAGCTGAGGTTTTAGTCCTTCTCCGAGCGCCGGGCGGCAGATTAGTCATTATTTCCCTCTGCCTCCCCGAGGCTGCAAGGGCACCTCCTCCCCAAAGAGGTGAACCCGTCCCACTTGCTGGCTTTTGTTTAGCTCCTGAGCGGTTTCTGGGGGGAGCCCGGTCACACACCCCCCCGCAGCCCCTGGCCCTATTCCCCCCTCGGGAATTACGTGCCAAACCTGGAACAGGGATTTTTCTTTCTAGCCAAGCGCCCAGGTCAACTTCCTCGTAGGAAAGCTGATTTATGCCTGTTTATACGTATGGAAAAAGGAGGCAGAAGCCAAGCCCGGCATCCCTCCAAAATCTCATTGTCTTTGAGGCGGGAAGACGGGAGAAAGTGGAGTCACAAAATCTAAAATGATAAAGTTTGCCTTGTCGTGGCAGAGAGGGCTTGGCCAGAAGGGCAAACACGGGGTTTTGCCACATCTCTTTGCAGCTGAAGCCTTTCCCAGGTCACACAAAACGAACGGCTCCCTCTGCGTACCCCGGCTAGAGAAACAGGCGGCGGCCGCAAACTGCTCGCCTTGGCTGGGAGCCCTGCCGCCACCGAGGCCCCGGCAGGTGACAGCTCCACAAAGGCGTGAGGTTTTCCCCTCTCCCAGACACCGGTCCAGTCGTTCCCGTGGGCGCTCCGCGAGCAGAGTGATGTTTGGCGCAGGCTTGGAATCGCACCTAAAGCTCCCCCGGCCCATCCTCTAGTCCAGCCTCATCCCTTCTCACCCCTCTGAGGCCAGGGGACACCGGGAGCTGGCCGAGTCGGAGTGGGGAGATGCTGCAGGTGGTGGCGGGTCCCTCCCGGGAGAGCATCTTCCGTTGCATCCTGAGGGGAAGGGAAGGTTTAAATCCCAAGTGAGGGATCTTTTCTCCCCATCGTGCCAGGGGGGAGGGCTCAGGCTTGCGGTGAGGCTTGGGACCAGGAGTTTGCTCACGGGTACGGGAGTTTTCTCATTTGTGCACATGGCAGGTGACAAAGCACTGCACCGCTGTTTGCAGATGACAGCTTTCGGGGAGGAGGAGGGCAGGGAGGCAATGGGGTGATAGTGAGTCTCCTAAAAGCCTTTGGCACTGCTCAGTTCCTGCCGTATTAGCACAGACATAGTTGGGTTGTGCTGGCTTTTTTCTCTTCCCTCTCCTTTTTTCTTTTTTTTTTTTTTTTTTTTCCTCAAGCCCACTGAGGCAGAGAAGAGGCAAACTCAGCCATAGGAAGGTGGTTAGTGATGTCACAAGTTTGATCTTTTCAATAAAAGCAATAGAGAAGGGTCTCCCTCACTATATATATTAGGGGACGCTTATGTTCTTCATAATAAAAGGAGCAGCAAGGGAGAAAAGCACCTGCTTTTAACACCCTTTATTTAACCCTGATCTATTACAGACAGAATTGAAGCTCTGTAGGCTGGATTTTTGAAAAGTATTGCCTTTTTTAAAAATTAACTTCCTTTCTTTTCTTTTTTTTCTTTTTTTTTTTTTTCTTTTTTTCTTTTCCTCTTCTTCTTAAGAATAGAACATAGTTTGGGAAGCGATTGCTGAGAAGAGCAACCACTGTTTGCCAGGGTGATCTCTGAGAGGCACAATCAGCTGTAACTCAAAGAAAAGGTGAAGTGATAAATTGTGAAGAAACTTCAGGATTCTGAGTTTATAGAAGCTATTTGTTTTTCCTGAATTTGTAAAGGATGGTGTGTGTTGGTTTTTGGTGTATTTTTTAAAATTTTTAATTTCTGGGGGAGAGGAAATTCTATAAATATTTGATGAACGTTTTACTTTTAACATGAGCAATGCACCTATGAGTGTGGGGGGGATATTTTCAGAGGACCTTACAATTATTTTTAATTAGTTGAAAGAGCTGTGTAAATCAAAGACGGCTATTAGCTATACATTTTAGTTTATAGACTACTAGCTGTTCAGGGAATTTATTTACAGCATAAACGATTTAAGGTTTTCAGGATGATTTCTGTTTCAGCTCTTATGCTGTAGGTTTTATTTGCCTGTGTGGTGTGGAATATGGATTTTTAAATTGTGGCAGCAAGCTTCATTTAACTTAAAATGAGCTGCAGGTAGACAAACGCTTTGCTTTCCACCTAAAACTTCAACAGAGAGTCTGCTTTAATTCTAGGTCAGGATGAGAAGGAGCCATCAGCCGGCACGCCTCAGTGTTGTGTTGCGGCTTGTGAGGGTGTTGGGAAAGCATTCCCTGTAAATCAGGCTGTCAGCGGCATAACCAGCGACCCCGGTCCCCCCGCCGCAGTCTCTGGGAGGGGCGAGGCCTCCCGGGACGCTGCCGGGACCGAGCCGGCGTCCCCAGGTGTGCGCTGACGCGGTCCTGCCCGCGCCGTCGAACTTGAGGATATCGGCGTGCAGGGCATTCCCTGCAGGAAAAGCGCCGGCGGTGGGGGCAAGGGGTGCACTGTCCCCCTCGGCTCTGTCCCGGAGTCCCCTTGTAGCAGCCGGAGGTAGCTTCGACCGCGAACAGGCTGGAGAGACGGGCGGGCTGCGTTACCTTCGGGTTTCACGCAAATGTTGTCCCGGGATGGAAAAGTTTGGTGCCTCCATTGGGGGTGCGGGGCTGCCGGCCGGCGGTTCCCGGCGGGGCTCGGGGGTGACCGGGGGAGACCGGCAGCCTCCCGCGGCTCCGGCCACCGCTGTCCCCGCAGCCCCGCGGTGCTGCCCCCCTCGCACGGGAGCGCATCCTGACGCAGCGGTTTGCAGCGCCCTGGCCAGGCTGAAGGAGAGCGAAGTGGAAGGCGAAAAAGGGAGAGGAGGAGAAAACTTTCCACTAGTTTATGTTTTTGTCCAGGAGCGCCTGTGTTCATAGACCGCGAGTCCTTCCCCTAGCCCTCCCCCTTAGCTCCCCCCTCTCCCTTCACTAGCGTACAATTAGCATCATTAAGAACCGACCCTCCGGCTTATAGGGGAACGGCGACCAACAACGGTAGGTGCGTGTAAAGAAAGACGGCAGCAGACCCGGGCAGCGCTTTGGGGCTTGAGCTAAAAAGTGCTCCCGCCGATGGGAGGAATCCCCGCGGCAGGGGAGACGATGACCCGGGGATAAACACGAAAAGGGAGAGCTGGAAGGTGAGCGAGAGAGGAGCGTGGCTGCAGAAGATGCGGAGAGCTTGGCCGAAGTTCTTGAGGTCCGCTGAGTGCATGTGCAGCCGGGTGTTTCCTTTTCTTCCCTCATTTTTGATTCGGGCCCGGGAACCGCTGATTCCCAGTCTCCCTTTAGGTTGTGGGTGTCCCGTCCAGGCTCTCGCTCTCTCCGCACACGTTCCTAGGGCGCCATCTCTTTGCAAAACCCTCCGTCCTCCCGCAGGTCTCCCAGAGGCTGCTCCGGAGCGCGTGAACATCACAGGCTGCAGCCCAGTCCAACCTGCCGAACCAAGCATGCTTCCCAGCCCCTGAGCCTCCCGGGCTACCGCTCCTCCCAGACCTCTCGGGCTCTCCAGATAGGCAGCGACCTTTGCTTGTCTTTCCTTGTCACCGTTTATCTCTCTCCTTATCACTGTTGGGGACCAAAACTTTCCAGCAGCTGGAGACGTGAACCCGACCCTTTTTCTTTGCAGAGGTATACTGAAAGACAGATGTGGAGGTGCATTCCCCCTCCGCCTCAGCCTGTGTGTGTGTGTTACTGTGTCCGCGCGTGTTTACGGAGAAGTGAGCAGCTGAGCTGCTTTTGGGAATCTTTCCTCATCAGAGTGGGCTTCTGCTGCAACATAGAGCTCTGAGAGAGTGGCGTAGCGGACTAGAACTAAGCAGGGCTCAGGGAACTCCCTGGACCCCGCTCTAACCCTGTTCAAATGAGAGTTAGAAGGTTTTTGAACTAATGTCGCGAGAGATCTTGCCTGCGGGCAGGGAGGGAGGGAGGGAGGGAGGGAGAGAGAGCAAAGTTTGGAAGGAGTGAGCCGAAAACTCAGAAAGTTTGTTTTTCCTTCAGAGCCTCGGAGCTGGTAGAGCCGAAGCGGGGACTCCTTGAGGACGGCGCTGGCGCATCTGTCCCTCGGGACTGACCTCCCTTTCCTTTCAGGTTTTAAGTCCCGGAGGATACAATGTTCGCTAAACTCTTCCAGCAGTGGAGGTTCGCAGTGTTCCTGCTGAGTTATTCCGTGCCCTCCTACGGGAGATCAGTAGAGGGGTTCAGCCGCAGACTGTGAGTTTCTCTATTTTCTTTTTTTTTCTTTCCCTTTATTCTCCCTCGGTGCAGGGGCGGGAGGGGGGGAGGGGGGAGGTTTGGCAGCCCGGGAGGCTCCGCAGCGCTGCCGGCTCAGCACAGGGCCGCTCCAGGTTACCTGCCCCAGGTGCTCACGCTGCCTGAGAGCCAGGAAGAGTTATTTGGGGCAGGGAAATGGCGCTTTGCAGCTGTCTGACCTTAAAAAGATTTGGGGGAGGCTTTGTGGTGAGGGGCTTCTCTTCCGACGAAGCAGGGTGATTGTCGCACAGTTGCCCAGGACCCTCGCAGGGAGCATCCCGGTTTATCAAAGTGCGGTGTTACACTAACAGGCACTTACTCGGCTCTGGCGTGGAACCAATATTGATAAGGGCATGGGAAACCCGCAGAAATGAGGGCCATCATGACACTGAAGTACTGAACAATTTCTTTAGATTTCTGCCACTTCAGGGGAAAAAAAAATCCAAAGGGAGTCCACTATCTTACTTAGAGGCAGAGGCATATTTTTTGATAAATGATAGTGTAACTTAAGACAGTCTGTTCAGAAAATGACCTTTTTGCTTCTTCCAGAATAATCAGCCTGGTTTATACTAATACCCATACACAAAGTTCAGGAGAAGCCTCTGCAGTGATGCAGGAGCAGCTATAGTCATACATCTAACTTGCTGGCTTTCTCTGGGCTTGCATCAGATTTTCTAAGGAGGAAACACCTCGGTCATACTGGGGAGGGCTGTATTTTTATTCAGTTTCAAAGGAAGCCAAGTTGGAGAAAGAGTTCTGGAAAACCCAATCACAATTTACAGGGAAACATGACACAGCAAACAATTTCAGATGTGTTTCCTTGTAAATGTTTTATTATATAAGGACAAGATATCCAAATAGCACTTCCTCTGCCATTTAAGCAATACTAATAATACTAATAATACTAATACTAATACTAATACTAATAATAATCAACCCAAACACTCAAAAGAAAAAAAAATACCACGGATGAAGTGACTTAGGACATACCTAAAGTTTGGCACCAAGCAGAGAGCTATTACAAATCTCCTACAGCAAATTGTGTAGAACATGTTTTTGCTGATAATGTTAGAGTGTATTATTCTCAGTCCATTAACGTTTAACTGCTTTGTACTCTTGAAAGCTGTCCTTGTGCTACTTCTTTCTTTTGGGACCATATTATATAGAGGAGTTAAACTTCAGTTTCAAAAATAAATAGGAAAAAAGAAAATTATTGAAGTGCAGCTAAATGATGTTCTTTTCTTGGCTAGCAAACTCTGAACTGGATCTAAGCCAAATTAGGTTATTAAAAAAATAAATTAGATTTATGGAGAAATACTCTTCCTCTTTTTGAAGTTAGTGTAGTTCTAACACTTGTTTTTAAAGTTCAGGATTAGAGATCTTCCCAACATCTCCATTCTGTCCTGAATGTCCTAAGGAAACCAGTGAAAATGCATTTCTCAGCTCCCTCTTTGCTCTGGCATGTAAAACACACACAAGAAACCAGTCAGCTGTCAGTGGTATTCATGTAGTTTTGTTTGTGGGCACAGCACAAACACAGACACCGCACTCAAACATGTGTCCTGTTTTAATATTACCACAAACCATTCCTAGAGTTAATGGTTAATAACTCACTTAGGCTTGGAGATTTTTTTTTCTCAGTCAAAACCTTAGACCAGTAATGGATGAAAATACTGAAGCACATTATTATATACATGCAAAAATAATCAAAATTACATAGGCCTGGTTCTACAGACTTTGCTGAAGCAAATCTACTATGGTAAGCAATAACAAATTGTCCCAAGAAAAGATTTCTAGACACGTTATTTGTTATAGGAGTGCTTTAGCTGCTAAAGAACTTCTGAGAAATCCAGTAATGCCTCAAAATGAAATGACATATTTTTATCATCATGTCCAGACATTGCAGCATCATGTCCCTAGATCTGTTCAAAATATTTTTCCTAAGCCTGAGCAGATTTCCCTCCCTTTGGAGTCAGTGGCAAGGGCACTCAGTCTTGCAAAATTCAGAGAGCTGACTGAATCCTTCTCAGTTATTTTGCTGAATTTGGGATCAAACCCAACTTGAACAGTCAAGGATAATAACAGCTAAATAAGAGCAGCTCTCTGAGATAGAAAGTGGAAAGTCTATCTGAGATAGACTGAAGAATGTTGCCTTTTAGAAATGCTAGATATCACAAGGAAAAAAAAAAAAAAAAGAAGAAATGTGCCTGAAAGCTCCTATCTAGAAGTACATGAAGTCAGGATATTCCCAAGTCATGGATTTCTGCTGCTCTCCCCATGATGAGACACTCAGTCTCATATGTACACAGTGTACTTTGATCCAGTAATTGGTTTGGATGCTCTGGTCAAGTACAAACCATTAACAACCCTCTCTCAAAAGCTCCTGCCACATGTAAGCTTAGTATTTACTGCTCTTGCTTTGGTACAAAATCCTTTTCCTTGGATGAGAGGTGTGTTTTATAAAAGGATGGAAGGGACCTCTAGTGGGTCATCTTAACCCTAACAGCCTAATATTTTTTTCCATATCATAGCCAATATGTGAATGCAATCATTCCAGTCTCCATTGCCTTCCTACTCTGAGTGTGTGGGTGAGATATTGCTGATATCTTCATTATCAAGCACTTCTTACATCAGTCTTCTTGGGCAAGCCTTTCTCCATGATTTATAAACATAGCAGTTGTTTGAATAACTGAAGCAGAAGGAGGCAGAAGGTCAAAGAGATAAGTATCTAGCACATCTTTGTTTCAAGGAGATTTTTTGATCTAGAGCATACAAAGGAAGCTGGTAGGCAAAATGTAATCCTTAAGTCTGTCTGAGTAATAAAAGTCATATGAAATGTAACACTACATAATGTCATACAATCATCTGGAATAGAAGAATGTTATTTGGGGCCAGACTTGATGCTAAATATCATACAGACATTTAAAGAGAAACCCACCCTCTGGCACACCAACCCCTCACACATCAATCCCTGCATTATTTTGGAAATGCATACTCACTCAAGATGTAGATCTTGTAATGCTGTCTGACTGCCTTGTGTGCACTGGAACCAAATGTTTAGGTTTCACTCCTGTGAAATGGAATAGGTTTTCAATCAAGAGGACTTTAATAACAGGCTTTGGAGAGTCAAGATTTTGTCACAGTGGGGAACTTGACCAAATACACATTAGAGGATTAAGGCAGCTTTGGGTTGTCAGTGATAGAAGGAATTATCCTTGATAGTTCACAAGAGGCAGTAGGAAAGCTTTGCTCATCACGAGACACTGGTTTAGACTCCCTAAAGCATGGAGATTTCATACGCTTTCTATGAACAAGAAGAGTGAAAGAAGAACTGCATTTCCCATGTAAATTTCTTGAGAAAATAGACTACTGAAGCTCAGAATGTATCATGAGTCACACTGGACAGCCTGACAGGCAGCACAGAGGCAGCTGAACAGAGGAGCCCAGGGTGCTGGTTTTATTGGCCTATTTGCCAATCAGACTGACCCTAATGAGAAGGGTGTTGGAGATGGCCCTTGTTCAAAAAAATTCTTCTGGGGGAGATCATGAGCTTGCATTAATGGTCACAGCTGCACTGAAGAGAAAGACACGATATGGGATCAGCTTAGCATTATCACATTGCATTTTTGCTCAGGGACATTTAGTAGAAAGTCATAAAATATTTGCCCCAATGGCTGAAGTCATTCAAAAAACAGATTTGGGGACACTTAAATCACAGATATTTGATTACATGTGTATTCACAAACCTCAATATATGCAGAGCTGATTTTGAGCAAGATTTTGACAGTCATCTTCCAGTCTCATTGTCGAATGGGAGAAAGCTGCTGTTTGAATTTTGCCCTGAGCAATAGAGATGTAGTATCACTTAAATCAATCACTTGAACCCGATACTCAAAAAGTGCAGCCCTGCAAATACAGAAATTGAAGAGGATGCTCTTAAACCAGAGCTACTTGAAATCGCCAACTTCCAGTAGCTCTACTATTGATCAAGTCATAAACCTAAAGAGTTTGGCTGAGGGGACTAAAAAAGAGAACCTGCAGAATGCTCCCAAATATTTTGCATTTTCAAATGTGGTAGCATAGCAGGAAAAAGAGGGATGGAAGGAAAGAATATTCACTCGCAATGATGTGTCTTCTTCCTGTTCACCTAAATGCAGAAACCACTTCTTACTCAGCTAATTGACCAAATGATTATAGGACAGGCAAGGCAGTGAATGTAATTTCTTTGGCCAGTGAGAATCCAGTCACATGCCATACCCTCATGCAAGAGGAGATATTCCATAGCCAAACTCTGCATGATGGAGTAGAGCAATTGGAAGGATAAACTGTATTACTGCATTCACGGGAATGTAGCTAAAATCCCAGCTTGTGCTCTGTCTGTGGTTCACTGTGCAGCCGTGCATCTATTCCACTTCAAGAAAAAGGCATGTATTTTCCCACCTTTTCTCTGGTTATTTATTATTCAGGTACCATTTGTATCTTCTTTCCTGAGATGTTTAATTCCTTGTCAGAAAAACATCCCTAAAAGACAGATAGCTACTCATCTCCCAGTTTCTTGAAAACAAGACAGAGCTCAGTGTACCAAAAGGTCAGGATGAACTCTGGAAAAACCACTCTAACAAACCAGGATGCTCTTGAAGAAGATCCAGTGAAGAGGGTTAGCATGAAATTCAGACAGCATAGCAGACAAGAAATTTGGCCTCAAAAGTTCACACTTAAAGCAATACTAGGAGGGCATCTAAAACCATAATTAGACACAAGTGACCAAGCAGTAAATCCACAGGAGTGGCTGAGGCTTGTCTCTGCTGATGCTCAGGCTGCCTCCTTGGATATCTCATTATGGACTGAAGTGCCTGTATTTTAGGCACCCAAGTTCAAATATAAAAATATTTTATATCCTTTTTGCTCCTGCAATATTCCTTATGCTCCTGCAATTTCACTTATTTAAATATACGAGTAAAGTGCGCTTTTATATGCTTGTTTAAGTTTTTGAAGTACACTGAGCAGAAGAAAATCACTAGAATGATGCTGCATAAACACTGCTTCTGGCTACAGTACAAGTGCTGGGTTTTTCCTCTCTTGCTGTATTAGCTGACCCTTTCATTTTCCCATCCCTGACAACTGCCTTCCTGCTTTTACTGCCTCAAGTGTGATATATTAAGAGTCATGATGCTTTCCTAGAACAGAGTAGTGACTAATCCAGCTCCAGGTCCAGTGGTGTGTGATCAGTCAGCTGAGAATTATTACCTGCTTAGGACTTTCCCTTCTCTGCTGAGAACAGATACTCTGTGGAAGAAGCAGGACTTGCTCCAGCAGTCTGACTTCACTGGATGTCTCCAAGCCTGGTACATGGTCACTGTGGCCACCACAGCTAGAGAAGAGAGGAATTCTGCCAAGCACTGGGCAATAACCAAATCCTAAACACTTTTCCCTCTCCTCTCTTCCTTTAGCAAAAGAGCTGTATCAGAGCACCAGCTACTGCATGACAAGGGCAAGTCAATCCAAGACTTACGAAGGAGAATATTCCTTCAAAATTTAATTGAAGGTGTCAACACTGCAGAGATCCGTACAACATCAGAGGTGTCACCTAACCCTAAACCTGCTACCAACACGAAGAACTACCCTGTCCGGTTTGGCAGTGAAGATGAAGGCAGATACCTAACTCAGGAGACAAACAAATCACAGACCTACAAGGAGCAGCCCCTGAAGGTGTCAGGGAAGAAAAAGAAAGCAAAGCCTGGAAAACGTAAGGAACAAGAGAAAAAAAAGAGGCGAACCCGCTCAGCTTGGCTAAATTCTGGCATGTATCGAGACGTCATGACCGAGAGCCCACTTTTGGACATCTCTGTTACTACACATAATCACACTTTAAGGTAATTCTGCTACATTCTTTTGGGGAGTGTGCCATGTATTTACTGAATTGTTATCCCTTGGTGTGAGAGACTAAGGCCTCGCTAAAACTGGGAGTAAAAGCAGATCTGGGCAGTGGTTTTTCAAGCACAGTCTCAATGTGCTCTCTGCAGGTAAGTGCCCCTTCCACTTTGCACTGAGGACAGACAATTTCTTTCCTATGAGACACAATTCACATAAACAACTTCTTGCCAAAATCTGCTTCCTGAAGCTGAGTAGTAAGTGAAGGTATTTCTGTGAAAAGGAAGCACATCACAGCCACTAAAATTTCCTTTCCTGCTTTAGCCTAGTGTATCTCACTATCTTGGTCCCACACTTGGGCCTCAGCAGATTGAAAGCTTTGACTTTTATTTAAGGCTTTGCATCTATAAAATGGTTAAGTTTTCTTTCCTTCCTCTCAACACCTCCCCTTTTTGGCAACTTTCCTACTCTTGCTTTACAGTTTTTCATTCTACTGTTTAACCTTAGGGGAGAACATGGAAAACTTCACTCTCAGTAATACCTGCAAACAACTCAAACCAGCCTTTCACCATAAAATTCTCCCTGCCATTAGGACTTTTTAATTCAGCTCCATCCTTCTGTCAGCTTGAGAAACTATTATGTTGCTGCCTAAAAATATTTAGCATTGCTTTTGGAGAGGGGTATGCTTCCCTCATGCATGACAATGAAGGGTTTTTAGGGCAGTGGCCTGGAGACATCAGCCTAGGTGTCCCAAGTGACTCATACCCTTGCAGTCATCTCAGCTTGAGTGGAAATCTGCACACTTGCAGGCAAAGCCAAAGATCCCACTCTTCAGCTCTTAAATGTTTGCATTTCACCAGCAAAACCCTACCCTTTTCTCTCCTCCTCCCCTTCACCTTGGCAGAACACAGACATAAGAGAAGTGCCACTTGCTTGCAGTAAATCTCTTGCAAAGAGACACCAGCTGTGGGATTTACTAAATTCCAGCCTGGGGTTAAGCTTTACAGGCCACAGTTTGCAATGTGCTCCATCACCTCAGCTCATGCTGACATCTACAGGAGGTATCAACCTGGGCCTGGGCACTCAGGCCATAGGCCAGGGTATCTCAGACCATAAACCAGTTGGCATGGCTGTAGCAGGTAGGTGGGAAGTTAAAGACATTAGTTTGTCAGCACTTTAGGAAAGGTGAACTTCAGGATTCTGCTCAGGAGGTGCCTGAGGCTTCAACAGATGTCAAGGGGCTGTTTTGGCCAGTAAATAACACCTGCCTTGAGCACAAAGTAATATAGAATGGAAAAAACATCCTAGGAAATTTTAACAGTTACTTCTTTTTCTTGCTGTGCTGTCATTGGTGGCCACCTAATGGGGTTTATAAAAGAGCTACAGGTACAACCCTGTTGATTTTCCCAATTCAGCCTTTCTGTTTGAAGTGTGTCTGGATGGCTGAAGGCTCTCAGCTTTACTGTGGAGTCCAACATCCAAATGCAGCATTTCTCAGAGATTCCTAAAAAGGACCTATATTTTAGCTAATGAATTGGAGATGATTAAACAAGGATAATCTGTTAAAAAAGGAAAAGGAAATTCCTCCTTCACAAGTACAGGGAACATGTTGGTTTAGCCCTAACAAACTTCTAGTACATGAGTTTTTAGTTACCTCAGTAGGCTGGCAAAAGATGTAAACTTTAAGCATGATTTTCACTGTATTTCTGTGCTCCTTCTCTGCTGAACACCCTGGATTAAAATCTTCATGCCAATTCTCTCTGATCAGTCTTGAAAACAAAATTTTGGGTTTACATCAGAAAAAAATGGACAGCAATAATATAATTTCTAGATCTTTTGACTTACTACATAGAGAATCTCATGGAAGAAGCCAATCTTGCAAAACCTAGGTCCAAATCACAAAATGCAGCTTGTAAAATATTAGTACAGAGCCCACTGTCAAGATGTAGCTTAGCTTAAACTTTAAAACCAAACCTAAAATCCAAGCTTAATTGAAAATGTCACCCTCTTAGAAGTAGGCCTGAGTAGTGCAAACACGCACACATACACAGCCATGCTGTATGAATCGTGTGCCATAATTATACCTGTTGGAATATATCCTGAAATGGACCCTAATATTGTTGTTAACTAATTATTACGGAACTTCATGCTAGCATTTCCATTCGAGGCTCTTTAAAAGTTATTTCTCATGGACATTCCAACTATATCCCTGTTCCAATTCAATTAAGGTGCTCTTACTTAATTTCCTCTAAAACCTTTTGAACGAGCAAACTCCCTAATGATAGATGTAGACTCCTTTTCAATGTGCATATTAAGAAAGCTCTATTAAACTCTCCAGGATGGAAGTTTTGTTGTACCTCATACCTGCACACTTTTTCCAAGTGGGTTGTTACCCCCAGCTCTGTTAATCAGTCCTACAGCAGAGAGAATTTCATTTCACTCCATCCTATATCTCTACATTTCACCCTCAGGTGTTTCCCAGGCAACCACTAAAAAATGTGTGCTGTTCACAGGGACAGAAGGGAAAAAAATTGCAACCCTTCAGCATTTCCTGCAGCACCTCTGAGCAACTTCATGTTGAAGTGCAAGTAATACACTGAGAGGCTGGGAGCAGGCTCTGCTTAGTTCTCCTGGGGAGAGAACTCACACGTGACTGCACCATCCCTTAGAAAACACTCAGACTGGGTGCAGCTGATTGCTTCAGCTGGGCTGAATGCAGCTGGAGCTGGAGGATAACAGGATAGGATGGTTGCTTTCTTTCAGGATCAAGCTCTCTGGCTCCCAGAGGGAAAGTTTCACGATTACAGCCTTTTCACTCAGTCAAGTACACAAGAGATGCTGTCAAGAGTCTGCTCACTTCAAGCCCTGAGCAGCCTTTAGTCACATGCACCACAGCCCCTTGCTCAAGGAGTGGTCTATCAGTGGGAAACAGAGATCAAATAAGCACAATGGCACTGTTTTAATCAGAACATGGCATCACACCCCAGCAGTTAACACAGCATTGCCACAGCGTTAACAAGGATTTCCTTTTCCATATCTTCAAAACAATTTTCTCTTTCTCCAACTGTATTTTTTTTTCTTTCCAGCACTTCACATTTTTATCATAAAGTGATACAATTCTTCTTCTTGTAGCACTCAGGAATCTTACATAAGGCTCTAAATAAAACAAAACCCTTTCCATTCCTGTGAGGGTACAATGGCTTCAGTGTGTGACAAATTGCAGGTCATCATACTTCTAGAGGGGTTGCATTGAGAAAAACACGACTGAGACCTTGAATAAATGTCTGAAGCTGGGACGTGGTCAAACAGGCCCTATTACTGCAAATGGTTACTATCAAGGCACACCTGTTGCAGTCCGTGGCACTCTTATTATTGATTCTATGTCCACACATTTGAAGTGAAAATTAATTAATGTTTCTGTTCTTCCTGTCCTTTCTTTTCTTTGCAGGAGGTGCTGACATCTTCAGCAAGAGATATTTGGAGGACATATTGCAGTATTCTGTAATAGTGAATATATGGGAAGTATTAAAATATTTATTACCTGTAAATATTGTAAATGCTCAGAATGAAACCTTTTTCCCCTCATTGCTCTCTGAAACTGCACATTTGGTTATTGTGAATTTTCCCTTTTTTTTTCTTTTTTTTTTTTTTTTGCTAAGGTTGAGACAATTATTGTCACATTTACTATAATTTATTTTGTTGACTGGTGTATTTATTTTGTGAACGTATCTTGGTGCTGCTGACTTCCTATATTTTTTGTAAGATAATGCACTTTAGATATACATATTGAGTACATTGATAACTGACATAAAATGTTTCTGTTTTGTGGTTGATTTCAATGAATGCCTATATATGATTGTTCAAACTGATTTTCCTCTGCGCATGTATAATAGCAGTATTTTATAATTTGTAAAGAATGTCTAATAAAAATATAATCTAATTAAATCATGACTCAGAAGGAAAAATGTGTTCTTCAGGAATTTTAAGGGCAAGAATATTTTTTTTATCTACAACATTTGAAAATTGTTTTAAATGTAATGCATTTACATGGGTCTAAACTCCCACATTTTCACATTAGCTTTTACTTAAAAATAATTTAGAATGTATTTTTGTTCCAGCATTCTATTTCAAGTTAACTCAGCTGCTGTACAGCCTGGGGGTAAAAAAAGTCCCAGAGCTCAGATCCCACTGCAGGGGAAGCAGATTCCCAGCCTCCCCAGGCCCCAGCCCTGCAGAGCTGAACCCCTGCACTCTCCAAACTGGAGGGTGTGAACAGCAGCCCCAGGGGAGGCATCACATCCTCCACCCTTGGAAGGTGCCCACAGGTCACATCCACAGCTCAAACCCAGGCAGGTGGGCAGTGTCCTGGGCTCCCAACATCTCTGCCCCAGGATCCAAATGGCCACAACATCAGTGGAGCCTCAGTTCTTTGTGCTTTTCTGTGAGGGAGGAAAAACTTGTTTCCTGGGGGAATATACAAAGGGAAGAAAAACTTCAAACTGCACCGGGGGACACATTATGAGGTGGTCTTGCATTGCTGGAATAAATTTTCCTGTCTCCCACCCTCTCCCACCACAAAGATGCCTCACATATCTCTGTTTCCAAAACCATCTGCCTTAATCCTGCTTCTGCCTCATCTCCATAGATAAGAACAGCTAAGAGAGAGACCCCCTTCAAGACTTCATGTCCACTGACTGAAGAATAAATGAGAAAAAAAAATATGGTCTATCACTTTTTCTTGCTTCTTATCCCTGTCACATGCAAAATCACAGCAGCTGCTGTGGGGGCAACCTGAATAAAGGGGATTGTTTCACAGAGATATCTGAACTTTGCAAAGTCCAACTGAATTTCCTCTGTCCCACTCCTTTAACACCAGCAACATCAGTAAAATGCAAGTATGGAAAAATAAATTACAAATCCTGGGAATTTTAAGATAGTTCTTGTAATTGTTGCTCTATTCTGTAGTTGCCAAACTTTTATTTTTGATTCTTTCATTTTTTCAAGTGCCATCTTTTTCCACTGCCAAAGTACAGCCATCATGTAATATAAACCAGATGTATTCTTGCTCCCTTCCCAATCTTGCAAAAAACTACCTCTAAGAAAATACTAAAAGCAGGAAAACTTTTGAAAAAATTACCCATCCTTCCCAATCTGCTTCCCTGAAGTGTGAAATTCAGTGCTTCATTATGTCCAGCTAATTACAGCAGCCACAAAGCACATGCATGCTGTTTCCTTTTCAGATGAAAAATATTATACATGATGAAGCATAGCATTAAGGAAAAAAGGCAGAGTTTCTGCACATTTTCTACTTGGCCTCCTTGCACATCCTGCCTATTTATAGTATACAGTTAATGCTTGGATTTATACAGCTGAAGTTAACTGCAATATATTCAGAAGACAATTTTGTATCTCAGGATTACCAGCATATCCCAGCTAGAACTGAAACTGAAAGCTCTGGTGGGCAGAAGCAATTTATCTTCATCAGAAAAGATCTTCATTTATGTTTGCAGACAGGGGCCCAAAGAGCATAAACCAAACCAAAAACACAAGTGCTTAACCTTAGCTCCACAGAACTGGCCTCCTCATAAGAGGAAAACTGATTTTGTCTCTGGTCTCACCTGTATCCTTCCACTGTCCATTAAGGACTTGTAATTTTTTTCCTAGTTTCCTGTAGGTGAAATCTGCAATTGTAGAGGGTTTAAGCAAAAGTCCTGTTTTTCTGAAATATCTCTGTGCAGGCCTTACCAAATCTGTCTGTGGATCCTGTGCTTCACAGACTCTGGTTTGAAAGTCAGGGCTGCAGACTCCACAAAGCTTAATGCAATATTTTTTTAAACTCTCAGCTTTGCAGGAAAATAAATCCTGAAGATCCCCATTTCTCAGACGAACTAGAGCAGCTTTGCCTTTCTTGAGGTGGGGGGTAAAATCTCCCAGAGATTTCAGTTTCTCACCCTAAAGGTTTAACTAGTCCCAAAGACCCCTGCAGGGGTCAGGACTTAAGAATCAGGACTTATCCTGGTATTTTCTGATGTCCATGACACCAAATGCTGAAGGAGAAGAGAAATGATGCTCGAACTTCAATATTTCATGTTTTACAGTATGACCTCTAAGAAGGTTGCACTCTTGCTTTCATGTCCTTTCAGCTCTGTTTCTCTTGCTCTCCCTATTCCCAGTTAATCCCAGACATCACCTCACCCACCACAAGTCCTTCCCTCACCAGCCTCTTGTCTCAGCAAGTTCTCCACATTCTGCCTCACAGCCATTGATCTTGTGTCCTTCACCCCAGCTTTTCCTCTGGTGGGTTGTGCTCTCCCCTTGGCATTTCCACCAGCTTCCTCCTGCTCTCTGTCCACCTCCCAGCAGGAAGAGCAGCCAGAACAGAGTGGGGTAGCTTCCTCCTCACTTTGCTTTACCACCCTCTCCCAGTGCCTTTTCCCAAGCTGCTGGCTAGGAAGGAGCTCTGGGGGAAATCATCCTTTGCCTTCATCATCACTGAGCATGAGCCTGCTCAGATGGCAGGGTCTGCACTCCTGGAGGGTGGTGGGTTGTGCACAGAAGGTCCACTCATGCACAGGAGCTGAACCATAATCAGCTTTTGCTGATAAAGGACATTCCATTAAATTAGTGTGATTTTTTTGGAGGGTTACGACATGCCCAGATATTCCTTCAGGTGATAAAAGAGCATTCACAATGCAGATCATGCCCTTCCAAATTCTCATTTTTTCCTCTGTGAGCCAGGCAGGTGATAGGACTCTCAGAAGAAATTCCAAAAGATTTTTACTCTGGGCAATACAATCGATTTTACTTGGTTTACATTTAAACATGGTATGACTACTCTGGCTGAAATCTTCTGAAAGACAAGTTACAAGGTTTCAGCTTGAAAGGTCAAATATGAGTCAGAATTTCACAAAGAAATGAGGTCAGAGTGTCACACCAGGACCAGAGTGTCCCTCAGGAGTGCCCTGAGCAGCAGTCCTGCTTCCCAGATCTGACCAGTACAGTCAGAAACTTTGTCCCTGCCCAAGACCTCCAAGGGGAACACAGATTTGGCACCCCACCGCTGCTCTGGTTTTACAGCAGTCACTGTGTTTACTACAGAACTTAAAACTGGTTAAGAGACAACAAATGATGACAGCTCTTCCCAGCAGCTCCCCTGTGCTGGACCTCCATCACAGACCTTTCCAGGCTCCATGCACTTGGAACGGGGAGCTCATCCAACAGTAGAGTTCCTCTCACAGGGTTTGTTTTGTGGTCCTTTGTAAATACAGACACTTATCTGTCCTTCAAGACACACAAAAACCAGTTAGTGCAATTTATGCCTGTCCTCTGGAATGGCTCTATCCTCTCAAGGAAGGCATTTCAGGCACAGGAACTGCTTGGCTTGGTTTGAAGCATTTCCCAACCCCAACCTGTGGACAGCACTATCCCAACACAATGTAGCCACAGTGCAGTGATCATGCATGTTGATTTCTGAGTAAGTACCCTCAATCTGCTAAGCCACCAGAGAGAACTTGGCTTTCTTGCAGCATTCAGAAAGTAGGGGAATGTTGTCTGTATTTAGTTACAGCCTTTGAGCCTGAAACATTTTGTTATTTGGTCATAATTTACTGCAGAGAAAAAGTGCTATGATAGTTTCTGTGGATTCTGAGGGGCTTTATTTATTTACAAAAGAGATACTACTAGAGGAAGCACAAGCTACCTTTTAAACACCACAGCATGTAACCTCCCAAAATAAAATGGGAACCATCAGCATGAGGAATTGGGTCACATGAGCAATAAAGTAATTAAAAAGTACATTTTGTCCTCTACTGAAAGCACCTCTGGTTTCTGCTAACAGATTCAAGAACAAAGCAGGGAAAGAGGCTCATGCATTCATCCCCAATTTTAATGAGGAGAGCACTGGGACTCCTTGGCAAAGTAATTTCATTGTTTTATCCTGATTATTATTCAAAATGGAGTCATATTTGCCCACTTTTCTGAAGATTTGTGAGCTGTGTGGAAAGTCTGGGGTAGAAATGTAAAGCATTGATGTGCAGTCTGCCTTCCTCCCCCTCACTGGATTGGTTGGTTGGCTGATTTTGGTGGTGGCAGGTTTGGTTTTGTTGGTTTTGGTTTTGTCTTGTTTTCTTGGACTTTTTTCCTGTGGTTGCTTATCCCAGTTTTTTAACCAGGCTATGAACACAGTCATCAGGTAATAAGTGATAGGTTTCATATTCACCCAGATAAAGGTGACAATGCTTAAAGACATTTTCTCACAGCCTATCCATCTCCCAGGATGCCCCTCTGGACACTGACTTCAGTGGAAGCTATGCACACAGCTTCCCACACAGTTCTCTGAACACATACCCCCTCAAATCCACTTTTTTAATTGGTTTCCTGGACGGTTCTCCTCACAAATAATTTTTTCCTGCAGTTAATGTTAACTAATTTGCTGTGGAAAATGTCTATGATCTAACCTTCTCCATGCCTTTCTTTCCAGATGTGTGAGTGATGCAAAAGAGTGGCTTGCAATGCATATGCCATGGACCATCCTTTTCCAACAGCTGGATTCTGCTCTCTGACAGGGCAGGTGAGCATCCTCTGCACATTCATGGGCTCACTGCTGTGCTAAAATACAGGCTTGGACTTCAGAGAGCATGTTTGAGGCCACTCTGCATTTTGTAGATCAAGCTCCCTTAAGAAAAACTTCTGAAAATATGAAGGGATTTTTTTTCTCCAGTGGAACTTCCAGGAAATCTCTACACATTCACTAAGAAAAATCCTTCCTTATGTATTGGAACTACCTTTCTTGCTATGGCCATGCATTTACAAGCATGTTAAAGGCAGGAGGGATTTGTGTGGATTACTGTTGTTAGAAATACATTTTACAAGA